AAAGGACCACCAAAGGACCACCAAAGGACCACCAAAGGACCACCAAAGGACCACCAAAGGACCACCAAAGGACCACCAAAGGACCACCAAAGGACTCTCAAGGTCCACCAAAGGATCACCGCTAAAGAACTCCTAAGGACCACCAAAGGACCACCGAAGGACCACATTATTTCTGTTAAGTTTGAACCTAATAACTCTAAAATCAACTTACTTGGAGACTGGGGGACGTCATCGTGGCTTGCTGGATCACACCTGAACTTTTGCAAGGATTTCATCGAGTGAATTCCAACTACTGGCTTACGGCCAAAAGAACGATTATCTCGGACTTTGATGTTCATTGGAGGCGTGTACAGCTCTTCTTTTGGTAGATACTGCATTAAAAAAAATATTGAGTCACGCAATGATGTATAACGATTATGTCACTCAATGTCATCGTAAGCAACTGTCACGCCAATGACTTTATAAGTAATAATGTGTTCAATATAATGGTCCACTAAAAACGTAACATTCATTAATGTTGTAACACAATACCATTGTCACGCAATGTCTTTCATGGTGATATAATGATTTGGTGCATACTACGTAATGTCAAGTATGACGTCATTACAGATATGGAGTAATTTACATATGACGTCATTAGACTAACCACGTCGAAGAAGAAAATCGGCTGGTCAAAGTTTGGGTTCTTCTGAGTGTTCTTGATGATGGTAGAGTTAATCACGTGACCACCGCATTCAAATTCTATGGAAGGAGACGAAACACTTGCCAGCTGGAACTTTTTCATGTTTCGAACGCCCCAGCATAACACCTAAAAACAAAAAAAAAACGAAATGCTCTTTCAATTGTTTCCTGTGATATTCCTGGCTTCCCCTACTTTCCCCTTTCGACTCTCCCGCTTCGTTTCATCGCCACCTTACGAGTTCTGCTTTTAAATCTCAAAGTGTATATCAAGGAAAAATTTATATTGTCAAAATCACTTATATGTGAACAATGTAGTAGTATGGTTACAGTGTTCTTGTATGTGGTTTTATATGTAAACACTTGAAATATCAATATGCAAGTGAGATAATGATGTTGATCTATACATTAACAGGCATTAAGGGGGGATCACTCAATGATGAGAGAAAAGCAATCATTATTGAGGGAGTATCATAAAAAACGATACTGTCTCTTGCAGGAGATAAGTAATTTCCGTTCCAAAAGAGAAAAAAGTTGATGTTAAAGAAGAACAAAGTAGAGTACCTCTATTGCTGTTCTTTGCATAACTGGTCTGATCCCGTTTGGTACCAGGAACAAGTTTCCTTTCATGGGTGGTGCAAATGGAAGATCTGCTCCTTCATCCTGGAAATAATAAATAATAAATAATCGAAGTAAAAAACGAGTCAGAAAATACTATAGATAATACATGTATGGAAATACTTGATGTATTGCCTATCCATTTTGTATAGGTATAAGGTGCAGCCCTTCGTCCGATTGCGCTCCGTTCACGAAAAGCTCATTATATGACCTGGAACAACCCCAGGGCTCATCAAAGACAGAGCACGGCACAAATGGTATCGGAATTTAACTCACAAATGGTATTGGAATTTAACTTCCTCGGAGTTTTGAATGCTGAACGCCGTTTGTTGGCTCGGATGGCCCACCCTATTCAATAAAAAATCTTTCTACACAATATATGCTGGAAATCTTTTCTTACCAAGTACAATTCAAATGCTGCAAGTATTTCCCCGCCATACTCATTGCCTCGTTCTACATCGTACCAGAGCAAGCGTGGAGAGGGAGGACCTTGGCCATTCAGCTTGACAAGTGGTGTTAGCACACACCGACCCATGAATTCATCTTTTCCCTGTTAAAAGGAAATACAGTAGTGGTTATGCGGTTGTTAGTGTGGCTTGACAAAGTTCATTAATAGATATAGCGATGTCGCTAGTGCTGTCTCAGTTTGGGGTCCCTTATATATTAAAAGGTTTCCACTATGTCCTTTGGTGATATTTGGCATTAAGAAATAAGGAGCGATTATTGATGTGATTTTAAAAGAAACTTGGCCACAGATATTGCGAAACGCATCAAGACAATCTTTAAGTAAGCTGAACATCTTTAAGCACGCTTCTGTTTTTTAGCCGTTGTGATAATATCTTAGAACGGAGGAAAACTATAACTTTTCGTTGCCCGTATATACGAAGAATTTGGCCGGTTCTTAAATATATTTTTAAGTATTAAAAAAACAACTTTGAGGAACAACACTTTAATGGTCACATTTTATAATTTATTTAGAAAACCAGGCGCAGCTTGCACAAGAAGCGACGACCTGCCAGTGAGCATCACTCACAGTTCACACTTACCACTGGGTCCTTGTCAAACAGTTCTATAATGATAGTAGGTGGGTCCTCGGCCACTTGCTCGATGCTGCCATAAATATGAACGTTTTCGAAAATCAAGGTCTGATCCCAAGTTGGGCACAACGTACGAGTAAGACACTCCGTTACTTGACTCTTATTTTCGAATATGATGCGGGCGTACGGATCTGACAAGATGCAAGACACTTTCATTAGAAACTGGGTTTCACTTGATGTCATTTCCTGTCTCGTGCGAAATGTTCATCAGCTGAATCCCAAGTTTTCAATAGAGGCTTTGCACCATCACGTGATGTCAGCCTTGACAGGAGGCAGGAACAATTGAATCTGGTCTAATCTGATTTACATTAGAAAACAATTCAGTTTCCCAGGGGGATGAGACTCTATTGTTGTGCCTCCTGTAATGGCTGTCATCACGTGATGCTGCAAAGCATCTATAGGATTTTTTCTGGCTTACAGCACATGCATGGCGGTCAGTGTTTGACCACAATTTGGAGCAGATAATGAGATTCAAAGACTTCTATCAGCTGATTGAAATCCAATAGTTGTAAGGAAAATTGGTCCAATAATTAGTGCAAGGCAAAACAATGCTTCTTCAAGTACCCGTCACCATCCAAATGTAGCTAGAAATGGGTAGCAGTTGATTGTTGAGGTAAGGGGAACCGGGTTGATATACACCTATTTCAGAAATCGTTGTCGCACCAAAAGCCTTAAACAACAAGCCAAGACCGTAGAGAACGCCGGTACTTTTAGATGTGATTAGTTTATTCATGGTGCATTATTTAGTTATTGACTTCACAAATTGCTCCAAGCAAGGCTGCTTGAGATGATAATTAGTGTAGAGCTATAGCCACTTACATGAACCACGAATAAATCAATTATGAATAAAAGTACCGACGTTCTCTGGAGCCTTGGCTTGTTACTTGAGGCTCTTGGTTCGACAACGATTTTCGAAATAGGTGTATATATTTACCTGAAACGCCATCTGGGTCTGAAGCCAGTAAATCTCTTGCCTGGTAAAGGTACGCACGCATTTGACATTTGTGAGGTTCTGTAAATTAAACACGATATTTAAGGTTAAAGTAATTTAACAATCTTTTAGAATCTTTATTTAACAATCACTGATTATCATAATGATAATGATATGATATTACTGAATATACTCACTCTCAAAAGTAATAAACATCCTTGGCGCATTCATAAGTGTTTCCTTTTCTGTGTCCTGGTAAAAGATAGAAGCAAGGAAATATTTACAAGACCGACGATTACAGCAGCTCATAGTATGCCACTTTATCAAAAGTGCGCATTTGCCCCGGTCTTTAGATCGAATTCGATAGAAGATAAACTTCTACGTGAAAGTTTACATGTAAATATCAAGCCAAACTTCATAGCAACGCACTGACCAACTACATTACAAGACTTGTCACTGAAAAAGAAGTGTATTTTGTATATACTCATAAACTGCAATATACTGACCTCTCCTCCTCCAACATCAATGTGGAAAACGGCAGGTGCGCTGGGGTCCTCTTGTATCATCCTTCGATGCCATCGCCTCCGTCGCACATAATCGAGTTTTCGTTCTTTTGCGTGGAATTTCATTGAGAACATGGGAGCGTATTCCCAACCCTGAAGTGCGATTTGCTCATCTCGTATCTACACGAATATAAGAGTTATAGCTTCTAAATATGACCAACAAATTATTATCGTGAGATCGTTAGCACTGCTACACCAGAAGTATTGCGGTTATTCACAAAGGCTAAGGTACTTAGTCCAGAAACGCTTTTTTTTCATGTTTTAATGTTCGGAGAAGATAACTTGGCTAACAATAGCGCGTTCAAAGTGCAACGGCGGAAACAATGCGCGTAACATACCTGTACTGATTTAGGCGCCAAATTTTCAAACAAAACCCTACTGCAACCTTGATTTCTCTCTTTCTTTCCGTCTTCCTTTCCGTTTTCCTTTCCGTCTTTCTTTATTTCTCTCTCTCTTTCTTTCTTCTTTCCCTCTTTCTATCCCTCTTTCTATCTTTCTTTTTTTCTTTTCTTATTTTTTTGTTCATTTTCTTTATATATGCTTGACCGTTTCTCAATCATTTCGACGATAAAGGAACTGTTTTCCTTGTTTCCTCCGCCTTTGTAGCTACGCAATATACAAGAAATTAAATGTCTTACATCTTCTTCTTCAATTTCTAGTTCAACAAGCAGTCTTCGGCTTCGAACCCATCTTCTTCGTCTACACAAGTGATAAGTCTTCTCTACTGGGCCGTATCCACCCATGGTTGATTCAACTGTATACTCAAAACCTGAAAAGAGCCAACAGAAACAATAGGCCCTTTGTATGTTTGTGTAAATAGGAACATAGGTTGGATGACCATGTTAGATTGCGGTCCCGTCTTAGAGACGTTAAACATAGAGGGCCATATGTTTAGCAGTGCTAAGTGGATTACTGTCAGGTACCACCCCTTCTAAACAAAGACGTTATTAACATACCATCTTCGTCTACCGCTCTGTTCAAGTCAACCAACCATTCCGAAGTCCATTCCCAGTCCTCGTCACATTTGATCTCATCTCTAGCAGTAGCCAGATCCCCACGCTAAGATAACAACATTAAATTAGTCATTTTTCAAGCAATGAAGGCTTTGCACTATCACGTGATAATAGAGTCTTTTCCTTGGGGAAACTGAATTCTTTCTCATGTAAATCAGATGAGACCGGATTCCATTGTTGTGCCTCCTTTCATAACTACCATCACGTGATGGTGCAAAGGTAAAGGTAAAGGTAATTTGTTTTACTTCGATAACGCGGGGAGTGGTTGCCCAATTCTCCCGAGCCAATGGCTCATGCTAAATGCGCTCGAAGGTGCGCCCTCTACCCCCCTCTTACTATCAGTGCTCCTTTTTACGGGTGTTTAAAGCTAATTAAAGCTACACAGAACAGAGAGGAGTCAAAACAGACGTGGAGTTCCAGAAGATCGAACTATGGACCTCTAGCTCTGAAGGCCGCACGCTAACCAACTGAGCTACGCCTGCTCCTACAAAGCCTCTATAGTAGTGGATTGACCTTCACAAATCAATCAAGTAGCTTACCACATCAGTCCATTGTACGGAGGCTGGTCCCCAGGTTCCTCCCGGTAATCGGGACTCGTTTTCAAAAACATCTTCGAGGAAGGTTTTGTGACCACTGTCTTTATCGTATGATAAACTACGTGGAACAGGAAAATACAATTAAAAAAGTCATCAGCATGACTATTATTATTACTCAATTTTGCGACCGGTTCGGCCTTTTGGGAGCTTCGTATCCAGGACTGCAGAAGGCAGTAGTGTCTATGGTGTCGAGTCCAGGGGCAAGGTTTCCAAAAAAAAAAAAAAAAGACTCTCTTAATTTTGAGTGGTGAAATAGAATTCCTTCTAGATAGGCCATAGGTTCCTAATTGGCCAGATTTTACTACTTTTTTTTTTTAATTCTTAATTTTGAAAAAAATGCTGAAAATGATACCTGAGTTCAGGGTTGACGAACCAGTCGCCTTCGAATCTCCATCCTTGTGGCGCTACAAAGCAATCCTTGGGTAACTTGATCTAAAGCGAGTTATAACAAAGATGTCATTAGAAGAAATTGATTCATTGTGATCAGAAGAAACATTTATTATATTCAAGTAGAAGGAATCGATAATTGTTTCGATTAAGTGCAAGAGATATTTCATTGTGGTCAGGGTAAAAAAATGATTTCTTTACTTACGTCTCCTCTTGCATTTGAAAAATTTGGACGCGGAAGCCCTTTCGCTGTCCAGTTCCCGAGTATATTCATTTCATTCTCGTACTAAATCGAAAAAGAAAGAGGGTTTTTTTWAATTTTTCATTTCATCATATGGAAAGACAACTTGATATCTATTTCAAAGCAACCATAAATACATTAAAATATAAGTAGTAGTTTTGTCACTTGAGCGTCGACCAATGGCTTGGTTACCTTTCAAAATAGCTTCAACTAAAGGCTTGGTTACCTTTTAAACGGGCTACCAAACGCTTTGACTATCATTGGATACGAGCCTTTAATTGCCTTTTGCCAGTCGGCGTAGATGATTGATCCCTCTTACTTACCGTCTCGGCGAAAACACAGAAGTCACCTTCGGTCAACTCTCTGTTCGTCCATTCTTCTTGGTGTTTCTCCAAACCGAGCCAAACCATCAGGCGAACGTGCGCAGGTACTTCGGGGAAATCTTCAATATTTTGTTGTTTTTTACCAGGATACTATGATATACACAAGAGAAGAGTTATGAATATAATAGATAGATAGATAGGTGGAAGCATAAATAATTCATATATTTATGGATTGTAATAACTTGATGATTAATGAGAAAGTAATAGATGAATGAAAGGAAAGAAGAATGAGGTCAGAAGAGATGAATTGATGGATGGATGGATGGATTGATGTATGGATGAATGGATGGATGGATGAATGGATGGATGGATGGATGGATGGATGGATGGATGGATGGATGGATGGATGGATGGATGGATGGATGGATGGATGGATGGATGGATGGGTGGATGGGTGGGTGGATGAATGGATGGATGGATGGATGGATGTAAGGAACATATTGATAGATGGATTGAATGCACACTAACCTTCATAAAGAGATTCTGTACTTTGCCACAGTTTTCTCCACATGCTTCACTGTAGGGTTCATAGAGGACATCGTAAGCAGGCAGCTTGTAGTAAGCGATGCGTTTGGTGCCGCTAATCATCCAGATGATCACGTCAGGCATGCTGTTTTGAGGCTGGAACAAGGAAAATATTGTTAGATACCTGTCTCAGACAAGGAAGTTATTGAAGTACGTTCTTTGTTGTTACACCGTTTACGAATTAAATCATTTAAGACAAATTACAAAAACAAGATGCCAAAAAATAAAGCAGGCTGCAGGTTTAAACTTAAGGTATTTCTGTGGAAAGATTTTTGACTGCAATAATACACCTTTATTAAAAATAACTGTTATAAATCTAGCCTTCTTATTGGTTGGGAGCGCGTGCTTTATGAGAGCACACAGCATGCACGGGCCCTTGTATTTTATAAAAGAAATGGTTGATTGGGAATTGGCAGAACACTCGAGAAGTGTCGAAAAATACTCCCCGCTACCCGTCGTGCTTCTCCATACTCTTCTTTCGTGTTCTACCTATCCCCACGTGCTTTGTAACAGCACACAGCACGCGCGCGCGTTTTCTATTTCTTCAATATCGTACTATTAGTACCTCAATTGTCAGATCTTTGAGTCGTTGCAAATACCCTTCAATTTCGCTCAGAGCTTCTTGCACGTCAGTAGCGCTTTCTCGTAACTTCACTGCTTCTTCCATGATTGATAACTAAAATACAAGACAAGAAAGACTCACATTTAACAGTGTTAATCCTTTTTTTCAGGATTTTATGTTTGTTGGTCAACTTTTGTGACTCCACACTCGATGAAGGACTAGCGTCCGAAACGTCAGTAAGTTCTTTCATCTTTTCACGGTGTATAAATTACCTTTTTATCATTACTGTTTCATTATAAACACCGATGCAGCTCATACTAGTTCTTAGCTAGCTATCTCTTCTTTTGTGATATAGCATCAGTTTAGTATAAGGGAGGTTGGCTTGAAGAGGATGGGATTCAAGTCAGGCCCCACCCAAGGACAGAACCGCTCTCACAATTATTTTACGTACCTTTTCCATCATTCTGACTTCCTGTAGTTTGAGATCCAAGTCATTCACTCCGGGTGTTTGCTGATCAACTTTTGGTAATGGTTTTCTGTTTCAAAGAAAGCGAATGATGCACACTGGGGACTGATGATGTGAACCGGAGGTGTAAATAATTTATCTTTGGAATTCTGTTCATTGGAGATTCCATTCAAGAGATTGTATGTCAGTAAAGTCAGCCCATCCACTGGGAAGACAGACGTAAAAGGCGCGAGACCCCAAAGTGAAGTTATCTACACTTCCGGTTAACGTCGCCGTCTACATTTAAATTTCAAGTAACAAAAAAGTCTTTCTAGTAGAACGTGGGATTTTTGATGACATTACCTGCAGTCTGTGATAAGCATGTCTAACAGGGAGATCAGCAACGTGGCTGTTTCTGCTGGCTGAGCATTTGCTTCGATTGAAAGATTAACCTTATCCATTGCATTTTCCTGGGACACACAAAAGAAAAATTCAGAACTACAATCACGTCTCTGACTGGAGCCAAGAAGCGAAAAGTAAAGTTCAGAACTACAAACACGTCAATGAATTAGGTAAAAGAAGCGCGCGGAATGTAAAGGTAACTAAGTTCAGTCTATAAACTCTACAGTTCATAAGCGCCCTGCTGCAAACATTTATATTTGCGTGACCCTACATCTATGTACACTGAAGATCCGTTGTCACGTGATTCGAAACATATTCAAAAAAATTAAAGAAATTTTCAAGTCAGGGACAAAAGTTTTAATTAGAATAATGAGTCCTGACTTCAACTACAACATCTTCAGAAATCCTTGCAGTGCTTTGCAGTCCCATATGAAGGCAGCCACAATTGAATCTGGTCTAATCTGCTTTATATAAGAAAGAATTCAGTTTCCCAGGGCAAAAAGACGTGTTGTTCCTCCTGTCATGGCTGCAATCACGTGATAGTGCAAAGCTTCTATACAAATGTACGTTCTCCTTTTCTAATCTCACTTACCAATCGTTCACACATTCTTAAAAGAATGTTCAAAGTACCAAGCCTAAACCCAATGTCCTCCCAGTGACTGTCAACACAGACACATGGTTTAGTCTCGCCCCATGGTAGATAGTAGTAATAACATCCATCATACACGGCATTTGTAGGAGGAGTAGATGACGAGGACGGTGGCACAGATAGATCCAGCTTGTTACCATAGTTACCTAGATGGGTAAAATCATTTATGTCTAGCGCTCAAAATTTTAATTAAATGAGTTCTTAATTTTTCTCAATATCATCTTCGCTGGTCGCGCTGGAGGAATAGTAATGAGAGTGGATTAAACCATGCATCACAAGATAATTCACTCACCAATGCTGACTTCAAATTCAACAGGACCATCGATGCAAGACACCATGGTCGCCTCTAAGAAACACGCGAACAGTTTGTACTTTCTACGACGAAGATACGGCTGGAATATAGAAAAAAACATATATATATATTTTTGTGAGTAACCGTAACCTGACTTCGATCAAACCTCAGGTTGTTTCAGGGTTCAATCTGTGAGCTAGCTGTGCCTTGACTTAGATCAGCCCAGAGATTCTTTCATAGTTCCATAACTCTCGCGGCATGAAATTCGTGTTTTATTGAGGATATTGCTCCTTTATATCAATATCTTACCTGTACGCTGATGATCTCATGGTTCTGTAGATCTTCAGATGTTTCTTGTGGGGTGACACCAAGCTTTGTCTCCAGCTCTATGAGGACTCTCCCTCTATAGGCCACGCCCTCTCCCTGTTAACAAACAACCAGATAATCATTTAAATACACTATTTTATATGTCACATTTTAAACCAAGTGTTTTTGTGGTTGATAAAGATTCTTTGCTACAATATATTGCAAGCGTATTTTCTTTAGCAAGGGAGTGACACATGAGTTAGGTACCAATCTTACCCTACGGGACTGAGGAGGTATGGATTCCCTGCAGCAATTTTCGCAAAGCCACTAGTCCCAATGCAGTTCAATTTGAATGAGAAAACTACTGTGAATTGAACTGAAATTCTTTATTCTCCAAATCGAGCTACTCTCCGTTGCAATTGATGGTCTCTATGCCATGTAAGGCTGGTAAATGATTGTATTTTTGAACTTAACCAGTGTGGAGAATTAGGTATCAACAAACATCTAGGAATTCGACTTACGATTCCAAGGTTAAGATCATCGTATTCGTCTGGTAGATCTGAATATTCTCTGGTTGAGCCGTAGAAGTTAACGAAGCAAGGTCCAAACATGGGAAGAAATCCTAGAGGAAAAGGATGAGATGAAATCATTAAACTAATGAAAAAATACTAACAACGGTTTACTTATTTTTACTTTGATTGTACGTCTTGGTATAACGTTTATTACAGACCCCGTGTCATATCCTAGAGCTGTGCACGAGAAGACACATGAATATGGATACGACTCAAACAAAGAATCTTATTCCCAAGAGAATGACACGTGGTCTGAATTGGGTAAGCATTCACCAAGATGAATAATCCATCTTACAGTTCCTTTCTGTGACCACGAATATAATGATTCCAAGTAAGGGTTGGAGTTGCTGCGCATGATAAAAAGTATAGTTTTGCTATGCGCGGCAACTCCAGCCTCAACTTGGAACTATTATTCGTGGTCACTGAACGGAACTGTAAAATGGAGTACTAGGTCTGTTTTCTTTTTTTTTTCCCCAGATTTATCTGTCCTTTTGTTATCATTTTCTCATCTTTCATTATATTTCTTGTTAATCATTCCGAGGTTGAGGGAAAAACTGGTTCGAAATGACATTGCAGCGCAATATGAGACTGTTTAGTATTTCCAAGATGCATGGTGTCTATTTCGTCTCCTAAATCAGTCCCACAATGCAGTGCAAAGACAACTGGATCCAGTTTCTTCCCCTCAACCTTTTCATTGTATTTCCTACGTCTCGCATCTTTAGGGTATACCTTCGTCTCCTTGTCCAGCAATGGCAGACATCGGTAGAAAAGCAGTTCCAATGCAATCATCTGCCGTCAGTCGATCCCTAATCAGTCAAAGGAGCACAGTCAAATATCTAGTATCGTTTGCATGAAGGCTGAGTATCTCTAGCACATGTTTAACTGACTCTTCTGCATGAGTGTCGACTGTGCGCGCGCTCCCGCCGTGGAAGGAAACCTATAGAATCTAGCATTCCCTACAACTAGGGACCAGGGCCAATGTTTCTCACATTTTTCGTGTTTTATTAATTTTCTTACTTCTCAAATAGTTTTAAGTCCTCTTAAAGCACCCAAAAAACGACACCAATTAAATTTTCAAAGCAGTCTGGTGTTAGAAGTACCAGGATTAATCCAAGGTTTGGATGACCCAAAACACCCAAAACAAAGGAAATAGAGGCATGACACGGTCATGGTACAGGAATAAACCAATGACTGCGCGAGAAATTACGTCGCGTACGATCCGTAACGCACGCTTTCTTTTACTCACCAATCAAACATCTGTAGTTTTAGTCTTTCACACATCGAGGGAAACTAAAAATAGGAATAAATCTTTTAAAATAGAAATTAAAATTTTGTAAAAGCATAGTGGTTTTCTTCAACGTCGACACAGCGTGTTATTGTAAAATATTGAAGTAAAGTTTATTTTGAAATTTTAATATATTAATAACTTGTAAGATGAAGATTGGACTTTTACGCTGCAGTTAATAATCAAGTTCACTTTATCATAAAGTGCAAACAATATATCCGTACGTAAAACACTAATTACTAAATTGTTCAAAATAGTGCTAGTTAAACAAAAGAAAACAATAGAAAAAGCATAAAACAGTTCAAGGTAGTATTACTAATATTTCACGTATATATTGTTTGCACTCTATATACATGATCACGTGATGTATGTTTCCTAGTCGTCATTATACTTACATTAAACTGGACGTTCAACTCTTGATTAAATTCCGGATGATCAGAATTGTAATGAATTCTTGTCCGCGCCTGAAAATATTCGAATATCAAATACGTATACAATGTGGGCACGACAAACAACAGATCAAGTATTGCGCGCACTAAAAAGGATATTATACCTACTAGGTTTGTTTTTGTATTAGGTTTTCCCGCACCCCTCCCCCTCCTAAGGAGTTCACTGTGTTCATTGCACAGATTTTAAAATTCGCAACCTACGAGCAGTATGTTGCGAGCAAGAGAAACCTTTAGCTTCTTCAGGCAATTCCTGAAGTATATGTTACGTCAGAGCGCGCCATGTTGGTTGATGATAACAAAGCATTCCTCATTACGTACCTTTTCTTGTTAGATCAACCAAAAACTAGACTTTCGTATCAGTTTTGATCCCAATTTTCGTTTTAGGTTAACACTCAAAACCTTTTTAAACAGTTAGAAACTGATGTACTATGATAAAATGCCTGTTTGAAGCGGTATTTTCAAAAGATGGTTTGTTACATTTGTGTTAAAATGTTGCTTTGTCAGGCTTTTTTATAAAAAATATATGGGAAATAAGCGAATGGAGGCCTAAACGTCACTTTCGAATAGAATTATTGCTTTGGGTTAACACTTTAATTCCACTTTCATCGGTCATATCCACTTCCAAACTAGTTAAACGTTCGGCTGATATCAAGATTTTAGCCTTGTACAACAGCCTTTCTTCAAGAAAATATTTGTTGGCTCTTACTGCTTGAATATGAAAAGAATTCTCTCTTAAGGTGTAATATTGTTCTTGATTGAATAGATATGTATTATTATTGTAGGTAGGAATTATATTGATATTGTTTACCTTTCTACCAGCAAACGTAAAGACAATGTAAGGATCAACCAGCTCTTTTTGTTCCTAAAATAGAGCACGATTATCATGATTAAATGTCATAATCCACGATAAAAGTAAAATAACAAACTGAGGACTTGAGAGAATATTCAACTGTTTATTCGTACGTACCTCGCCGATGTGAAAAACCTTTTTGACTCCCTCAAAAAGACCAGAGTCCACTAGGAATAACAAAAACGGAACACGTCATAAACTAGACGCACAAAAAATATTTTCTCAAAATTACTTCGGAAAGACTGGCGACGGGTGCGCAACCATTTCAGATCACGCGTCATTCTCTCGAGAATAAGATCTTTGTTTGAATTGTATCCCTATTCATGTGTCTTCTCGTGCACAGCTTTAGGATATGACACGGGGTCTGAAATGGGAAAGCATTAGGTCCAAGGTAAAGAGGCCTATCGGTTGTTTTTCTCCAGTTTCTCAATCTGACTTCAAGTGTTTTAGTAATCACACAATGCATGATTATTAAAACTTAAACTTTACACATTTACGAAGCCAATTAAAGTGATGCTATAATCTAGTTAACTTCATAAACGTTATCGATGCATATGCAGACGTACTCTGGGGGATGTCTTCAGCTCTGTAGACTTTGAGGGCGAATACCGCAGGACGCAGCATGACTCCAGCAGGTTGGAGGAGGTTTCTGTCGTGACAATACAAGGAAATCAGTGAAGTTGTAGAAATTGTTTTTACCACAATTGGCAAGTTTTTAAAACAAAATCAAAAGATACGCGACTTTACTTACGACTCTATATCATCGCTGTCCTCCTGCGCGGGCCCAACTGAGGCAGGCTATTAATGATAAATAAAATATCAGTGTTCTGTAGTGTTATCAATCATCATCATGCATCATCATCATCATCAACATTATCATCATGCTTCATCATCATCAAAATCATCATCATGTATCATTATCATCAATTATTATTATCATCAATTATTATTATCATCATATATCATGTATCATCATCACCCTGTATCATCATCATGTATCATCATCACCCTGTATCATCATCATCATGTATCATCATCATCATGTATCATCATCAACATCATCGCAATATATCATTATCATCAACATCATTTTCGTCATCATCATGTATTACAGATGCAGCGTCACAGCGAGGCTGAACTTACCGGCGCTTCGTCTCCAGGCCCCAAGACTATTACGGTCACCTTAATGTAACCCTAAGGCGAATAACAACAAAAGAGAGGTAAAAATAAAAAAAGACATGAAAACAGTACAAAATACCGAAAATTTCGCTCCCGAAGTTCGAAGATAATTCGACGAAATTGCCCCACTTGGAATTGTGGAATTGAATTTGAAAAACAAAGATGGCGGATACGGATATATAATTCAGCCCATAATGCTGTGCGAGGCCATTATCTTCAAACTTCGGAAGGAGTGAATGTAACTTTGATGGTTTATCAACATTTATTTGTGTAGAAATGTTAGACGAAGGATTTAGTATTATTCGTTTGTGTGTTATGATTTTTAAATGTTTGTTTTTAAACGTGTATTGTGTTTAGGAAATTTATGCAGTTTTTTAAAAACCTTTAGTAAGCAATCCTGTCAATATTCTGAAGGAATTTCTTAACGAGAATAACAATGATATTGTTCATTTTGTTAGTATGTTTAAAACATGATTATAATACATAGACCTCAAGTGGCTATTATTTTAACAGTGATGTTATGGCTGTTCAAGCCTTTTAAATCTTATCACTCCCTGTGCTAATGCAGAAGAATTCAGGCTTTTGTCGCTATATATAGATAAGATATCACTTATCTGTCTTCCAATAGAGGTTTTGCATCATCACGTGCAGTAACAATAATACAGCTTGGACTGCCTGTGGTTAGATGGCAGAACAATAAAATCCCTTTGCTCTYGSRAATTGAATTCTTTCTCATGTAAAACGATTGTATTTTTCCTGCCATCTAACATGGCTGCCGCCACGTGATGGTGCAAAACCTCTATTGAAAGACAGATAAGTGATATCTGAGACACTTGGATGTCAAGTTCAAAAACAATGACTGAAGGACGAAAACTTTAAGTAAGCTATCATCATTGCTTAAACAATCACTTCTTTTACCTTTTATGGTATAAATCACACAAGGAAACTTGATATCATAACTAATGTCCATAACGGCGTCTTCGCGCGCTTTATCAATCCGTTTCTTAATATTTATACATATAAACCTTAATGGACGCACTGCTTAATGGACAGCTTGATTTTAGATATAAAAAGCCGACGAAATAGGATATTTTAAAACATTTCTACTTGATTTATGACGTTTAGGTCTCGTGATTTAATAGCTATTCTTAAAGATAAAGAATTCATTCACGACTTGAATTCTAACATTTCAAAGACTTATCGATTAGCACGCGACATCCTTGGAGTTTTTGATTTAACATTGCTCGTAGGATCTTTATTTTCAATTTGTTTTTTTTTTTACAATGAAGAGGTTTAAGTTTTGATTTGATTTAATTTTGTTTATTCAAGTAAAAACAAATGAAAATTCAAAGCCAAAGAATTCCAAACTATTTACTGCAGCAGATACGCCAATCGGCATTCCCTCGCATCCTCTTGATTTGCCCAAATAATCGTCATCCTCATTTTCTTCGTCCTGATCAAAAAAATACAGGTATACAAGAAAACACATCACAATATCCGAAACAAATATCTAGATTGTGATTGGTTAAGCTGAATGGTCTCTTGGTGTCACGTGGAAGTCACATGATGCACCATGTTCACATGCAATTAACTTACTCTACATTAATCAAGCTATAAATTTAAAATGTGGTTGGTTAAGCTAAAAGGTCTCTAGATGTCACGTGAAAATCCCATGATGCACCATGTTCACATACAGTCAGCTTACTCACTCTACAATAATCAAGCTATAAATCTAGAATATGATTGGTTAAGCTAAAAGGTCTCTTGATGTCACGTGAAAATCCTATGATGCACCATGTTCACATACAGTCAGCTTACTCACTCTACAATAATCAAGCTATAAATCTAGAATATGATTGGTTAAGCTAAAAGGTCTCTTGATGTCACGTGAAAATCCCATGATGCACCATGTTCACATACAGTCAGCTTACTCTCTCTACAATAATCAAGCTATAAATCTAGAATATGATTGGTTAAGCTAAAAGGTCTCTTGATGTCTCGTGAAAGTCCCATGATGCACCATGTTTAAATACAGTAATCTTACTCACTCTACAATAATCAAGCTATAAGTCTAGAATGTGATTGGTTAAGCTGGACAAATTTTTGACGCCATGTGGAAGCCCCTGTATGCACCACGTCGACATACATCAAACTTCTAGTCTTTTCTGATTCAACATATTCACTAAAGAATAATCAAGCTACAAGAAATTAAACGACTTTGAAATATAACTGAAAACAAGTATCTCTTTCGGTTGCACTGATAAGCTAAGGATGTTTGTCGAAAACGTCAGGGTATTTTGTGAGAAATTTTTCTGTTTTCTGAAAAAAAAATTAAAACTTTTTGCTCAATGTATAATTTATCATTGAGGTACCTTCACTCCAGCCATCCTGTCATCAGGGTCGGTCAGAAGAACCCATTTGCGTACCGCTGCATGACCTTCACAAAAACACGAGCAACTTTTATCAATGGTACTGTAAGGACATGATCTGCGTATCACGTGACCGTTAGTGGAGAGAAAAGTCACGTGACCAACACAAATATACTTGTTTATATCACTTCAGCAACAAGTGATTATTAAAGTAAATCTGTACTTCTTTGTTAAATGAATGAATTATTTTGTAGTGTGACCATGTGATGTCTTATAACACGTGACCAATGGTACCCCCTCTATGGATCCGTGTGTCACGTGATCGTCTGTAGTGTACACGAGGTCTTACCTTGTTCATCGTAGAAAAAACCGATGTCGCACTGGGGAAAAAACAGTTATTATTTTAACTTATTGATCATTTTCCCACGATGTTTATATTGTTTTTAGGGTAATAAGTAAAAATTTGATTCCATAATACATATAACATTCGCGGCCATGAATAGATATATATTTGTGCGCATGCGTAGTCAGACTTGAAAGTCGATAAATAAAACTATAGATTGAAAAGTCCAACAAAGGTTTCTCTACATAACAAAACAAAAGAAACAGCTTGGTTTGCTACGATTCGTATCAATACAACACTTAGGAAGCGCCCAAAGCAATTCCTGAGTGTTTTTTTGGCGACATCTTTGAGGTTTGCATCACTTCCTGATTGCTTTATTACTCTACAAAGCAGGTAAAAAGCTGTTTCTTTAAAATAACACATTTTAAAAATTAACTTATGAAGCCTATAAAAACTAATGAATAAAAACTAAATTATTCCTTGAACAATCATTTTTGTTGTTAGCATGAAAAATTGTTGATAATAACAATATGATATTTGACATTTAGGCAACAATTCAGTTGTCTTAAGAATACCATCATTTCTAGAATTTGCGGCTATAGCCTCGCTTTTGAGATAAAAAAGAAGAGCAGTAATCAGAATGAAAAACGAGCAACTGCAGGATTCATGGCTAAGCCCGCACATTCTAGTAATTATGGTATTTTTAAGAGTAGAGGTTACCTTGAAGTATCCAATCATAGCATTAGCGCGGAGTTTACGAGAATTGAACACCTGGAGAAACGATAGCAAACAGTAATCATTATTCATTTTAAGCCACACTTAAGGTATTAAAGACATACCTTTATGGCTTAAATGTACTTTTTTACATTTAATAGGACATTTTATACCCTGCGAGCAGAGTCTCCTCTTAACTCCTCTACGGGCGAGAGAAGGAAAAGGGTCAATAAATACAAACTGTGAAAGCATTGCCTATCGATCCTTTAGTCTTTAGGAGTTTTAAGCTTTCCTTCTCTCGTCCGAAGAGGAGTTAAAAGGAGACTCTGCTCGCAGGGTAGACATTTTAGAGCATATTTTCTAAATGTTATTATAGCAAAAATATATCTACCTCAAAACTGATGATTTCGTCAAACAATTCAAGGGGAGCCATGTTGAAGTTAAAGAAAAAAGTCTGAAAAATTAAAGTAATCGAAAAAAAACATTAATCCATAAAGAAATGACGACAGTGAGGCTGCAAAATGCTTTAATTGAAGTACAAAATGCTTGAGTAGTTATTCGTTAATAGGCAATGATGCACTGAAGCTATTAGCAATTGTATTTAGATGCATAATTGTGCGAAAAAACCTAAGGCACTGTTGCGCAAATACATGAAAGCCAATGCGCAAAGGCTTTAATATTAATATCCATGTTTGAGAGATTCTCATACGGCTGGCGTGCAATTAAACACTGGTATAATTTSCAGTTGTGCAAAAAGTAACCAAAAAGAGTGCGCAATGTAACAGACAACGCAGTATGACTTTAATCCCCAAAAATTAGAGGCTGGTGAGCAATCCCATACTTAAGTAACAATTGCGCAAAGACATTTATAGAAAGTGCGCGCACTTTAACAACCAATGCGCAAACACTTTAATATCCAGGGTGGTGGTACCTGAGTGGCTAGTCAGCAATCGGAATGCTTAAGCAGCTATTACTCAAAGAATGTTACCGAACTACCCCAAGAATCAATGTGCAACATCTTATATCTATAAATAGAATGCTTACCTCATCGTAAAAAGGTTTATTTGTTGATATTTTGACTTTGGTCTGTCTACTTTGATTAGCAACATTCACTCTGATTACTGGACTGATGTTCTGCCCCGAGAGCTGACGTCCTTCAATCACTCTGACTCGAACCTGTCAGCATTAGGAACAAACAACAAACAGTCATCATTTTCATCATGTTGGAAATTTAAAACATAGAACATTTTCCCGCCAAGAACGCTGAACAGACACGCTGTACATAAAAATATCGAGACACAGAATGATAAAGGGAGATAGGATAAAGCAAGAACTAAACTTCAAAGCCAGTTTAATTCCAAATATTCCAAGCGTTTGAGCAATTATTCCTCATCAAACAAAATGTCAAAATAGTTTTCTTGGAACTTCAAAGTAACTTCCAATATGGCGGACAGTGATCACGTGACAACGTCGTCATCGTGTGTCATCGGTAGTTTCATTTAAATAACCGATAATTCTTTTTCTTTAGTTCTTATCTAACCAGTATATCATCGCGCTGTGCAATGCATTCATTAAGAATCAGAGGCGATTATCTTTACCTGAAAATCTTGTGGTTTGCTGGAAAGCTTGTGTCGTTGCGTCCTTTTTTTTCTACGTTTTTTTCTAAAATAAAAACAGCCATTTTCATTTGTAATTTGATAGCACAGGATTAGACTCAAGCCGTCAGTTTTCACTACGATGCAAGCACAGCCTCAAGTGCAAGCGCAAGGATTAATGTTTTTGGTACTTTTACTTTTTAATTGGGGCGCTAGTGCTTGCGTGGCTAGCGAAGACCAGCCCTCAGTAGACTTACTGATATTATGACTTTGACTTTGCGAAACGAGCTTCGTAAAATAAAGCAATTTTAGGAACTACAAATAATATATTCAACCGTGAACTAGTCTTCTTTATGGCTAAATTTATGGTTTTATACTTCTTGAAGTGACCGTCTCTCTTTAACTATTGTCATTATTATTAATTATTATTATTTTATTATTATCTTCTTCCCTCTGCAAAACCTAACACCGTGAATTCCAATTCCATCTGTGAGTTAGTCATTTCTCGAGCAAAGGGCGTTATGTTTTCCCATTTCTGATCAAATGTCATTCCTTTGAGAATAAGATCCTTTTGAGTTGATCCTCATGTGTCTTCTGATGCACAACCATTAAACAAAGAAATGATACTCTAGGGAATAACACGTGATCTGAAATATGAAAACAGTGGGCTTATGTCTGTTAGATCAGCCCAGAGTGTGATGTTTGAGGGTTAACATTCAGAGATTTTTAAGGGTTCCCTAAGTTTGCTTGTTACCTGAATCCATCAGCGACGCCCTCGGCTCCACCTCCCTCCAGTTCATCATCGGATCCTTCAAATCCTTCCACCTCGTCGATCCCCTYCACAGTGATTTCTCCATCTCCTTCTTTCTGCACTTTAGGCACGTACTCCATGCGAAGCGATACCTTGGCCTGTTAATGGTAAAATATTAAAATGAGTTCTTAATAATAGACACAGACTTTGTAATTTAAATGTTGTTGCTGTTGCTGTTGTTGTTGTTTTTTTTTTTTTCTCGAAAATTCTGTTGAAATATTTTTGAGCGATATTTCTTCTGTCTTTAAGCTCATTACCTACCTTGGCCTGTTAGTGGCAAAATATTTAAGTGAGTGTTCCCATGCCAATAGTGTGACAAATGTTGAATGCCCACTACCTAATTTAAATGTGTTTTTTTCTTGAATATTCTGTTGAAATATTTTTGAGCAATATTTTTTCCTGTCTTTAAGCTCACTACCTACCTTGGCCTGTTAGTGATAAAATATTTAAGTGAGTGTTCTCAATAGTGTGACAAATGATAAATACACATAATTTAAATGTGTTTTTTTTTCTTGAAAATTCGGTTGAAATATTTTTGAGCGATATTTTCTTCTGTCTTTGAGCTCACTAACTAAGTTGTCTAATGGAAAGACATTACTGAATGAAGATGTATTAAAAACCACAACGACCAAACCCAAAAATGAAACGTATGTTTTTTAATTTAAAACTGTTCTTTTGATCCGGTTTGAAAGGCGCATAAAAGTCATTAAATATTAATAATCGTATATATTATCTTGAGGGCTGTGGCCTGCGGTAATTACCTGGGTCATGCGGTTGTTACTGTCCAACAGATTAACTTCTGCTTGCATCGTATGTGACTTGTCTTTAACCAAGTCTTTGAGAGGAATTATCGCTTGGCCAAGCAACCTGAGGATCGATATTTCATTCATAATATTAATCGTTAATAACTATTAATTACTTTTGATAATAAAGAGGTTGTAGATTTCAAAATTGGCAAGCTTGCGTGTGCCATTATTTTAACATTCAAAATTCAAAGCGATTTTAATATGCGGTTAAAGATTAAGGATAAACGTTTCGTAATGTTTTTACGTTTTTTAATAAATAAATAAATAACTTTATTTAAGTGTCAATGTATTTACAACTAATCGAGGACACTGAAATAAAACTGAAATGAAGAAATAATCAAAGAAACATAAAGTGTGTTAAGAATCCCTACTGGCAAGGAGGCAAACCAGTTGGCTATTTACAAGCATGGTCGAGAAACTGAATTTGAACTAATCAGAAACCAGGACAAATCTAATCAGTCTCATCTAGTGGCCACCGCGGGACTCTAGTAACTCAGCACCACCGGATTGCAAGACCGACGATATGACCACTCGACGTCGTCGTCATGTTTTTCATCATCATCATCATCATTATCATGTATTCTCATCAACATCATCAACATCATCATCATGTTTTCTCATCATCATGTATGCTCATCATCATCATCATCATGTTTCCTCCTCCTCCTCCTCCTCCTCCTCCTCCTCCTCCTCCTCATAATCATCATGTATCTTATCAGTTCTTCTTTCCATGTTATGGTATTATACAACAATATTACTCTAGCATCATCTACCGGACATCCGGACTCCATTTCTATTTCATTATTTACTTAGGGACCCTTGGGTACTCATAACAGTCTGATCATCCCAATTCGATTCGTTTAAGACAATGTTTTTCTATTTAAATTCTTGTTGGAATAAGATTCTTTATTCATTCTGACCCGTGACAATAAATACCTTACGAAGCACTGCCGGTAGCATGTGTTCTGAAATGGTTCGCACGGAAAATGATATATTAAAAAAAAACCTTTGTGGTTTATAATCCGTTGCCACAGATATTTCAAACATTTTTTGGCATGGCATTCTGGTAAGTTATATTCAACTCAGGCATAATGTCTCGACAACTGTTTGAGCGACCAAAATATATCGACTCAAGGTCACGCTTGAGCCGAATGAAAGTCTTCCAGTAAAGAATCAAAAGTTTTGGAAATTATTTGATTTTACAAAAAAATATCTTTCTTTCTTTCTTTCTTTCTTTGTCTCTTTGTCTCTTTGTCTCTTTGTCTCTTT